TTATTGATCCGGTCCGAGTTCAGTTCAGTATTTTAATTAATTTTTCAGTCCAGTCAGTTCAGTACACTAGTATCAGTTCAATCCGGTTTTCTTGTCAGTCAAGTTAAACCCCGAGAATATTCCTGTTAAATATTTAGATCGAGTCGAGCATCTTAACAACTATTTTCAGTCAGTCTGAGCATAGTACTTAGTATTTGTTTATTTATATATATTTTTATAGATTGATCAGCAGCAACACTTACACTATCAGTTCAGGTGGGGACTCAGACTGGGTATTACATTGGTTATAATTGCTCTATCATGTTTTAAGGTATGTATATGAGATATCCACTTTGGGTGGAGGCGCGAGGCCTTAATTGCCCATCCAAAGTTCTGGTGGAGGCGCGATTAATTGCCCATCAGAGTGTGCACATGGCGGACATAGTGTCCGAGACAGTTCAGTTCAGTTACAGACCTTGTGTCTGGAGATTACAGTTTACTTATATATACCTGCAGTCATGATATTGATATTATTATTAATGTTTACTTTAGTATGAGTTTCTGCGGAGCACAGTGGTTTTTAGTGCTCACGCTCCCACTATTATTATCTTCTTCAGGTGACAGGGTCGGTCCGGAGGAGTGAGCGGAGCTGGTGGTCGCTGGTGCAGTAAATATGTATTTATACTTTTGCAGACTTACTATAGGTATATTATTTGCTACGTTTTAACTTTCGTTGATGTTTTCAGATTTTTAAACTAGCGTGTTATGTTTCAGACTTTGATCCGAGCCTTTCGGATGGATTTTATACAGTATTACACGCTTGTTTAATAAAAGATAATCCGGTTTTCATAAATAGTATTTAATTAACAAAGATAACGGATTTTTAGAAAAGAAATGTTTTTTCTGTAGCATCTCGAGACATGATTTCGCAAATTAAAACATAAATTTTAGAAGAGAGTTTGCGAAAATCACGCTGTGATTTTAGTAAGCTAGCGGGGTGTTACAAATTGGTATCAGAGCACGTTTTTGTGTATCTGAATACTTTTTAAGTCAGAAATTTTCAGAAAAAGACCCGACCATGCTACGCTCACGCCTCGCCGACTACAGGTAAGTGCTGAGTTACAATTTGTATATATTTAAACGAATGCTTAAGTCTATGCTCAGTAAGAGGGTACTAGATATTTGACCCTAGTAACCACTAAGATGCTCGAGTATTTTCAAAACATAGTCGATTGTCTCAGTTACTTAATGATTCGACCTTAGTTTTCTCGGGTTATTTAGCGACTCGTCAAGAAATTTGTGTACTTAAGAAGCCAGTCAGTTAATCTCTTATGTTATTTAATCATGTTAAACATTTCAATGTTCAGATGCCTCCTCGTAGAGATCCAGGTCACCAGGAACTCCCGCAGGCCACAGTGGTAGCGCAATTCCGCGACTACCATCCAGAAAATTTTTCCGGCCAAGGAGATCCTCGTATAGTAGATGAATGGGTTCAGGGCCTCGAGATGATTTTCGAGGTCATGGACTGCCCTGATCGTTACCGCATGTTATGTGCACAAATCCAGCTGACCGGTAATGCCCGACTCTGGTGGAATGCCTATTGGAGTATGCGTCCCGGCGAGAAAGAAGGTTGTACGTGGGATCAAGTCAAGGAGCTGATCCGAGAGAAGTATTATCCCTCGTACTACCGAGCAGACATGGAGCGCCAGTTCTTGGCACTCACTCAGGGTACTCGTTCTGTTGACGAGTACGAGAGAGTTTACCCGTCTCGGAGCCTTTGTACCCGATCTTGTGGGTACGGAGGCAAAGAGAACCCACCGTTTCACCGACGGACTTCGCCCAGCAGTCCGCCACAACATCGTAGGTCACAGTGTCTAGACCTACGCCCGTACAGTTTTCATTGCTCAAGAGGTCGATGCTAGTATCCGACGAGAAGCCACCCAGAAACCAGCCCAGCCAGTTGCTCAGCCACCAGTTCAGCCCAACGTTGCCCAATCATCAAAGAACCAGAAGAAGAGGAAGTTCAGAACCACTTTTGACGATCGGAAGACCTGTCCCAGACAAACACCAGCCTACCCGACATGTGGAAAACGCCACCGTGGAGAATGCCTCGTGGGCCAGAACATCTGTTTCTTTTGTCGCCAGCCAGGCCATATCAGCCCCAACTGCCCAGAACGACTGCAACAACAACCACAACAACGTCAACCACTTCAGCAACCTCAACAACAGCAGCCTAGGCAGCAGCCACCGCGACCCCAGCAACAGCCACGTGGCAGACAACAGGCCCGCGTCTTTGCAGTTGACCAGAGGGAGGCCGACCAGCACCCAGGTACCATGTCCGGGATGATTATTCTTTATGATGTGCCTGTCTATGCCTTATTTGATACCGGAGCGACCCATTCCTTTATATCACGCTGATGTCTCAAAGCTATTGGGGTTCGTTCTACTACCACTGTCGATCCTCTCGAGGTGAGTCTAGCCTCAGGACGAAAGATAGTGACTGGCGCTAAAGCCACCGATCTCAGCCTTTCCATCGGCGGCCGTATTTTGATTACTGATGCTTATGTTATCGAGATGAGGGATTTTGGCCTCATACTCAGTATGGATTGGCTAACTCGTTTTCACGCAGATATCAGATGTCACGACCGGGAGATTACTCTTTATCTTACGGGAGATGATCAGATCACTTATTACGGCTCCAGGACTCGTACTCTGCCCCATGTTATTTCTATGGCGAAAGCCAGAAAGATTCTTCGACGGGGTGATTGCCAGGTCTACCTTGTGAGCCTCATTGGAGATGAGCCAAACGCACATTCATCTCATGACATTCCCATTGTTCGTGAGTTCGTGGACGTGTTTCCAGACCAGCTTCCCAGAGGTCCACCTAGTCGACAGGTGGAATTTTCTATTGATTTTATCCCTGGAGCTGGACCCATTTCAAAGGCGCCGTACCGAATGGCACCTAAAGAATTACAGGAACTAAAGACCCAAACTCAAGAGTTGTTGAATCTCGATTTTATTCGACCGAGCGTTTCCCCTTGGGGAGCACCCGTTCTCTTTGTCAAGAAGAAGGACGGATCCATGCGTATGTGTATCTACTACTGGGATCTTAACCGGTTGACGATCAAGAATAAATATCCGCTTCCCAGGATCGATGATTTATTTGATCAATTGAGGGGTGCCTGCGTGTTTTCCAAGATTGATTTGCGTTCAGGTTACCATCAGCTGAAAATTAAGGAGTCAGACATACCCAAGACAGCGTTTCGTACGAGATATGTTCACTTTGAGTTCGTGGTTATGCCGTTTGGCCTCAGTAATGCCCCGGCAGTATTCATGGACTTGATGAACTGTGTATTTCATCCTTTTCTCGATCAGTTTGTTATTGTATTCATTGATGATATTCTTATTTATTCCAACAGACAGAAGGAGCACGAGGAGCACCTGAGGGCCGTTCTTTCGACCCTTAGACGAGAGAAGTTATATGCAAAGTTCTCCAAGTGCGAATTTTGGCTTCAGCAAGTGGCCTTTCTTGGCCACATTATTACTCAAGCAGGTATTGAAGTTGATCCTTCCAAAATTGCTGCAGTTCAGAATTGGTCAGCACCGAAGAATCCGTCCGAGGTTCGTAGTTTCCTCGGCCTTGCAGGTTATTATCGCAGATTTATTGAGGGGTTCTCGAAGATTGCCCTCCCTTTGTCTCATCTAACGAGGAAGTCTGTGAAGTTTGAATGGACAGACCGTTGTGAGTCGAGTTTTCAGGAGCTGAAAAGGAGACTTACGACAGCACCGGTGTTGACTATTCCAGATCCTTCTCGGAGTTTCACCATCTATAGTGATGCTTCGAGGTAGGGTTTGGGGTGTGTACTCATGCAAGATGGCCAGGTCGTTGCTTATGCTTCACGCCAGCTCAAACCATATGAACAGAACTACCCGACGCACGACTTGGAATTAGCTGCAGTTGTTCATGCCCTTAAGATTTGGCGACATTACCTATATGGCGGTCGATGCGAGATTTTCACCGATCATAAGAGCTTACAGTATATCTTTACTCAGAAGGAGTTCAACATGAGACAGCGCCGTTGGTTAGAACTCGTCAAGGATTATGATTGTACGATTCAGTACCATCCAGGAAAGGCAAATGTTGTTGTCGATGCCCTAAGCCGCAAGGTGAAGGGTTATTTGACATACGTTGTTACTCAATAGAGTCAGTTGATTCAGGAGTTCGCCCGGATGCAGATTCAGGTGATTGATGCACTTCCTACAGCCATTACGGGGAGTGTCAGTTCCATGCAGGTTCAGCCGACGCTGAGTGAGAGAGTCTAAAAAGAGCAGGCTTCAGATGAGTTTATTCGTGTAATTGATGCCAAAGTTACTGCCGGAGGCGTCGAGGGTTTTCACTGAGGCACTGATGGGGCCTTGGAGTTTCGTGGCAGGATTGTGGTGCCAAAAGTCGAAGCGTTGAGGAAGGAAATTTTGACTGAGGCTCATACCGCACCATATCTAGCCCATACGGGAAGTACAAAGATGTATCACGACCTCAAAAGGTCGTTTTGGTGGAAAGGATTAAAGAAAGACGTAGCCGACTTTGTAAGGAGATGTTTAACCTGTCAGCAAGTCAAAGCCGAGCACAAGAGTCCCATAGGCCTTCTACGACCACTGCCGATTCTGAAGTGGAAGTGGGAGGAGGTTGCGATAGATTTTGTCACGGGGCTACCGAGGTCGTCTGAACATCACGACGCTATCTGGGTCGTGGTCGACAGATTGACAAAGGATGCTCATTTCTTGCTAGTATCAATGAGTATGTCTTTGGACAGGTTGGCTGAGATTTATGTCCGTGGGATCGTTCGACTCCACGGAGTGCCTGTTACTATCATATCAGACAGAGATGCCAGATTCACCAGTAGATTCTGGCAGAGTTTACACGAGGCGATGGGCACGAAGTTAGCATTCAGTTCAACCTACCATCCAGAGACTGACGGACAGACAGAGCGAACTATACAGACGTTGGAGGATATGTTGCGAGCTTTGGTTGTTGACAGGGGTGCTAAATGGGAGTCGTTATTGCCATACGTTGAATTCGCGTACAACAACAGTTATCATTCTTCTATTCAGATGGCTCCTTATGAGGCACTATATGGTCGTAAATGTCGTTCCCCTCTTTATTGGGACGACGTCGGTGAACGTCGAGTACTCGGTCTGAAATTGATCGAGGAGACAGCAGAACAATTCGAGTTGATCCGGCAGAGACTCAGAACAGCTCAGAGTAGGATGAAATCAACCGCCGATCATCATCGACGAGATATTCAATTCGAGGTTGGCGAGCACGCTTCTCTCAGAGTTAGTCCATTTCGCGGAGTCGTTCGATTCGGGAAGAGAGGGAAGTTACACCCTCGGTTCATTGGCCCGTTCGAAGTACTTGAGCGAGTGGGCGATGTTGCGTATCGTTTAGCCTTGCTTCCCGAGTTATCCGGTGTGT